GCGGCGGCAACTTGGGGTCCAGGGGGCACCGGGGTCGGCTTTTAAGTGGGGGGGGGGGCGCTCGGCCTCGGGAGGAGTCCCGGGCGGCGACGACGGCTTCTCCCGTGTCCTGGCCAGACTCGGGGACGGTGGCACGAAGCGGGCCGGCCTGGCCTTCGGCCCAGTCGGGCGACGAAGAATTTTTTTTTTAAATAATTTTGCCCGAAATAAAAATCCTAATAAAATATAAAAAATTAATTCTAAAAATGCCAAAAATAATTTTCACCATCTAAATAAAATATTTAGAACAAAGTGAACATTTTTCTGTCCTAAAATGCAATTTTCAAAAATGCATATTTTTCTAATTCAAATAAAATACCAATAAAATCATAATTTGATTTTAAAAATTCTTTCTCCAATATTTCTCTTAGTTTGAAGAAGTCATATTTTCTTCTCTCGTATATTTTTAATGATGGAAATAATTGGAGAGGAAATAATAAAATCAATTTGATCCTTTTTTTCAAATTTGAAACAAATTCAAATATGAATTTTGTGAAACCACCAACTCTCTCCTTGGGTTCTTGAGTTGCTTAAGATTTTTAGGATCTTAACAAAATGCAAGAATAAATATGATATGCATATGATGATTTATGTATAACATCCAAATTGAAAATTGGGATGTTACACTTCTTTAGCTTTTGGATAACAAAATTTAGGGGAAACAATTTGCGCGAAAAAATGCATTTTTTTTTCTTTCATGAGAGTCACGGCTTTGTTTCCGCGAGAGACATGGTTCTGCTTTCGCCAGAGCCACGGTTGTGCCTCTCAGAAACGGAAAAAAACGCGTTTTCTATTTTTTTTCCTTCCATGAGAGGCACGATTTTCCTTTCCTGAGAGGCACGGTTGTGCTTTCACAAGAGGCACAATCATGCCTATCGGAAACGGGAAAAGAATGTGTTTTCTGATATATTTTTTCCTTCCGCAAGAGGCACGGTTTTGCTTCCGCGAGAGTCACGGTTGTGCCTTTCGGAAACGGAAAAAACGTGTTTTTTATTATTTTTTCCTTCCGTGAGAGTCACGGTTGTGCCTCTCAGAAATGAATAAAATGCATTCTTTTCCTTCCGCGAGAGGCACTGTTTTGCTTCTTCGAGAGGCACGGTTGTGCTCTCGCGAGTGCCTCTCGGAAACGAAAAAAAAACCTGTTTTTTTCCTTTCACGGTTGTGATTTCACGAGAGGCACGGACGTGCCTCTTTCGGAAAGGGAAAAAACCCGTGCTCCCAGATCGGTTTTTTCATCCGGTTTCTTTCATGAAAAGAAAAGTTCGTCAAAAACCTATCAACATAGGATCTAGTTTTGAAGATCACGACGCGAGGAATCCAAGGTGAAAACAGTTCGAGATTTGGACGCACGGTTTAAAAGATAAAACATTTTCAATAAACGAATCTATGAAACCGGAAAAAACTCTCAGGTTGCGACATGGCGAGTACTCCTCAACTAGTGATTTCGGCGTCATGGCGATTCCTATATGGTGCCTTAGAGTGCGTTTGGTAGCATTTCCAACCTAGCATGGTTGTTCTCCTCTCATACATGCTCATTGTAGACATGCTGAGTACATGCATTTGTTTTTATTTGGTAGCGGTGTATGTGCTGAGACATGCTAAGTGGAGACTCTGTTTGGCAGCTTGCATCTGTTTAGACATGTCGGTCGGCACTATAGTAATCAGTATTTTCAAATAAGTGAACAAAACATTTCAAAAGTGTGATCAATTTTGTGAAATATGGAAAACACTTTTTTTAAAAAAATTAATTTTTAAAAAACTAAACAAATTTGAAATTTTGATCTTTTAAAAAATGTAAACAAAATTTGAAAATCAAAATTATTTTGAAAAATCATTTAAAAACAGATTTAAAAATGTAACAAAAATTAAAATTCTGAATTTTTTTGAAAATTATAAAAAAATTGGACATTTTTCAGAAAAATAACAAAATTTTCAAATTGAACAATTTTAGTTATTCTCAACATTTTCTAAAAATTAAATTATATTTTACAAATTTTGAACATTTTTTAAACACATTGTCACTCTCTTCGCTCGTGCATGCTGACCAGTTAACGATTGTTGGAGTGTTCTCACTTCGTGCATGCTAAGAGGCTATTTGAGTTGAGCTCGTGCATGCTGAGGAGGCCCTGTGCAGGCTACCAAACACCCATAAATGGGTCAGAAGGGAACTCTTGAGCTCATACCCCTTCCATGCACACGCACTCAAGATTGCTACGCAATGTGCACATAGTCATAACCATCAGGACGCCTTCGCTATTGTGATGTTTATACTTCATTCTACCTCATTAACACAGCTATAAAACATTGTGTTTTCTCTGGGTTTTTTTTGTTTTGGCCCGTTTTTCTTCTGGCCTTTTTTTCTCTTTCTCTTTATTTTTTCATTTTTAAAATTCATGTACTTTTTCTATAATATTGTGAACCTCTCTTAAATCCGCATTTTTTTCAAAGCTAATGATTTTTTAAAATTAACGAACTTTTTCAAACTCGTTGAGCATTTTTTTTAAAATTGGTGAACTTTTTTTTTAAATTCATGAATTTTCTCAAAATCGATGAACTTGTTTTCTCAAAATTGATGAACTTCTTTCAATTCGATGGATTTTTTTTCAAATTGAGGAACTTTTTTCCAAATCCGATAACTCTTTTTCAAAATCGTTGAACTTTTTCAAAACTGATGATTTTGTTTTCAAAATCGATGAACTTTTTTTTCAACTAGATGAACATTTTAAGAATTTTTTGCGACTTTGTTTTTTCCTTTTTATTCAAAAGTCAACGGTTGACTGATCAATTGGTCAAGTAGTCAACTAGCTGGAGTGAGCGAGGGAATTTCGGGTCCCTACGATCGATCGAATATCCGGTCGAAGTTTAGCTGAGCTGGCCCATGAGTGCCCCACCTTCGAGCGCCAGAACTCTAAACCGGCGCCTGTTAGGAGCTCCCGTGTGCCATGGCATCTCCTATTTCCCGCTTATCGCCGTAGATAGCGAGGAAACGCGCACCTCCTAGCCGCTGGCTTCGTTGAATGGGCCTGCCCATTTACAGGATTTAGCTATAGTTTCCTCCCACAAGTTTTGTTTCTTCTAGTTTTGGTAGATTTGCAAATTCGTGTTTTTTTGCTTTTCCACTTTTTAAAATTTTGCTATTTTTTTGTCTTCAGGATTTTTGATCCCGCAAATATTTGTTTGAAAATTAGAAATTTTAAAATTCCTGATAATTTTTGAATACACAAACATTTCTGAAACTCATGAAAAATCAAATTCAGCTACATTTTTTTAAATCCCGACCTGTGTTTTAATTGTTGAGAGCATTTTTATATTCAAGAATTGTCCTAAATTCATGAACAAATTTCAAATTCATGTTTTTTAGAATTTGAAACATTTTTGGAGATACATTTACATTTTTAAATTCATGAAGATTTTTTACATCGAGGGAAAATTTTCAAATCGGTGAATATTTTTTGAAATTTGAAATTTTATCAAATTGTAAACATTTTTGGAAATCTTACAATTTTTGTAAACTCCATAAAAAACATTTTTTCAAATTAAATTTTTTTTGTAATCCAAGATTTATTTTTAGTTTTACGAATATTTCTGAATTCACGAACATTTTTTCAAATTCTAAACATTTATAGAAACGAAAGGGAAAATAGGGTCTCTCCCGCCCGCGCGTGGGGTTTGGTGGGGGGGTGCGCGTTTGCCCGCTACCCCTGCACGGATTAGGGAATAGGAGCTCCCAAGCGTCATACCAGAAACACGTTTGTGTGTGCACAAATGTTGTGTATCGCTAGCAAAGCATATGATTACCTACGCACGCTCATAGCGGTCTGTCCCATTAATCACGCTGCACGGGCTAGCAAGCCAGCCTATTTTGGGAAGGTTTCAAAAGCTTCCCTGCCGGTTTTGGAAGCTTTTGGGTTGGGTTTTATTTTCTATTTTGGGTTTTTCAGTTTTATACTCCCTTTGACCGTTACTAATTGTCTCTTATTTAGTACAGAGTTGTACTAAATTAGTGACAGTTAATATGGATGGATTAAAGGGAATATTATTTATTATTTTTTGCTTCTCATTTTCTTTTTTTCAAAAGTTCACAAATTTGAAAAAATTGTTCAAAAATTTGAAAAGCGCTCATGTTTTCCAATTTTTTGTTCGCGCTTTTAGTAAAATTCTTGAAATTTCAAAAATGACCGCATTTAAAAATATGTTTGAAATTTCAATAGTTGTCATAGTTCCAAGAGAATGTTAAATTTTAATAATTATTCATATTTTCCAAAAATCTGTTCACATTTTCAAAAGTTGTTTGTTTTTGAATTCATAGGCTTTTTCAAAGTTCACGAACATATTTTTTATCCATGAATTTTTTTTGAAGTTTTTCTGAATCTTACAAACATTTTCGTGATTTCGTGAACTTTGGGGGAAAATATGATTTTTTTTTAATTCACGATCACTATTTTTTTCAAAATCGCAGACCTTTTTGTTAGTGTACTTTGGGGAATTTGCAAGATTTTTTTTACTCCCTTCGTTCCATAATACTTGTCGCAACTTTTTACAACTTAACATTTTTTGTTTTTTTGTGCCGTGAAAAAAACAGAACATACTAAAAAAAAACCTCAAATGGGCTCACACCAGCCAGGCGCTGGACTTGCTCGGCAAAACACGGCTCGGAAAGCGGCGCTCTTCGCTGCCGTTCTCCCCCACTCTCGCCTGGCCTGACCTGACCTGACCTTATCCACCGCCCCGACGCGACGACTGGCCGCGAGCGACGCAGCCGCATACCGCGCGCGTGAGCCCCCTTCCCCTCTCCCCACCACCCCGCCCCTGTTCCCCGGAAGCGCGCGAGCTGCCGCCGGAATCAGCAGGCCGCGAAGATGGTGGCCGCCTTCGCCGTCACTCCTCCGTCCTCCATGTAAGTAGCCCCAACCTCAAATCAAATCAAGCTCCCCTCTCTACCTGTTTCTTGCTGATTTTCCTCCTTTTCTTCGCAGATGCGGCGTCTGCATCCCGACGGCATGCCGGTCGGAGGCGCGGGGCACGGTGCCGGCGCCGAGGTTCTTCCATAGCCGGAACCAAGGTACATACACTGTTTCCCTTCCACATAGTTACATTGCAGCGGGCACTCTCAGGCAGGATCGTGGGGCTCGATTCACTCTAAGCAAACTTAAGTGTAAAGATGAGTCCAATGTTAGGCTAACAAGGACCTGGGTCAAGCCGGCAATATGCTGAGATAGATCAGGAATGGCCCTTTCTTTGTTGGCCCATAACTCATATCGAACTGGTGTGGTGGTTAATGTGGATTAGACAAACTGAATGTGGAAACGGCACCACAAATAGCTTCTAACAATGCTATATTGCCGATACTTCACTTTCCTCTTTCTTGTTAATGCTTTCCTTAAAAAAATAAATTCTTGTTAATGTTTGGAAGACGCCATCGATCTATGTCGCACGTTGCTGTACCCATCCCCAAATGCCAGCCACGCTATTTGCACATTTTGTGGGTAAAGTGGCACCGTAGATTAGCGCTTAAAAATTATCATCCTACTTGCTAGGGGGCCACTGATTGTACTGTCTCTTAAAATGTTTTAATGTCCAATGAACTTGCAGGCCTTTGTTATTTTGTCATCTTCTAGTTGCTGTTAGGCCATTGTTCGTCATGTGTTCTGTCACCCTTATTGACCTGTTCATGAAGCATAAATGTTTATTTGCTGAACTAATAAGTACTTGACAAGCACTAATGATCTAATGATGTTTTGATTGCAGCGAACAGACGGTCTGCAACAGCTTGGTCCTTGAAAGCCGGTCTATGGGACTCTCTCAAATCTGGGTAAAGTACATTATGTACCCTTTAAAAAATTTGTGTTATGTTTATCTTCAAAAAATATCTACATACTATCACATCTATGTACTACTGTAAAAACAAACAAATACACCATTTCCAGAGCTTCCCACCTTGATGAAAAAGGTTAAACCATTAAACACGTGTGGGTGTCCCGCATTATCTCGGCTGGGATAAAAGAATGGGAGGAGAAAGTAATAGTAACATCTAGGAATGCACATGTTAATCATGAGAACAAACAATGGTGTAGTGGGACCCAATCATGTTGGCAGGAAAATGATCCTGCTAAAATTCAGGTCTTCATTTCTTCAGAGCAAGAAGCAGGAGCTCCACCTCTCCATTAAGTAGAAAAACCAGCCGAAAACCGATAGAATGGACTCAACCAGCCTAGCATACTAGGCCCAGAGCCCATACACATCACGGCAAACGCAACACCCGAACACCCACAAACCAATGGACATCTGAGTACGGCCAGAAGAACACACCATACTGCAACTCTGCTGAAAACGTGCTCGCTGCACCACAGAGACCCTATGCCCCTGTTGAGTATGCAAGATCCAGTGTGACTGCCCCAACGAAGTGAGCACGGGATTCCACCCAGGCTTGACAGAAGCATGATAGAACCCCGAATAAAGTGTCGAGGAAAGAAACTCTGACTGCTGCCAAGAAGCCACTCGCCGAACAAGTAGTTTGATATTTTCTTTTTATTATACACTTAACAGGGGAGTCTCAAAATATTATACTGAACACCGAGCCTGAAACTCACAATCTTTCTTGCATGTTACATACCTTTAGAGTATTATCCAACAGTTGCATATCATGCTTCTGAAATTTGTACCTTATGGGGGAAAAACCCAATGCTTTTGCTTCATAGGTTTTTAAAAACTAGCAATAGTACAGAGACAGTAGAGCCACCATCCACACCACTTGAAGAAGAAGAAATTGTGCCTGAGGAATTAGTGCTCCTAGAAAGGACACTCCCTGATGGTAGCACAGAACAGATCTTATTTTCTTCAGCTGGTGATATTGATGTATATGATCTCCAGGCCTTATGTGACAAGGTGATCTTTCTTCAAAGCACTTTGATGTTTTGTCCTGCAGTGTTAGTGATTTATCCTACAACAAATATTTAGTTTTGTAATGTTCATCTCATAGGTAGGATGGCCACGCAGACCTCTGACAAAAATAGCGGCATCCTTAAGAAACAGCTACTTGGTCGCCACACTACATTCAATAACTAGGTCTTCGGAAACAGGTACTTGCATTGTTTAATTGTTACCGGATCTTGTGTGATCCGTGCTAATAAGTTAAACCAGTTTCCTAATCTAAAGATTATTTGCAGAAATTCATTTTTCTAGCTGACGAACATCTTAGTATAGAAGTTGTTTGACAGAGGGAGAAGAGAGGAAGCAACTAATTGGTATGGCACGAGCAACTTCAGACCATGTGTTCAATGCTACAATTTGGGACGTCCTTGTCGATCCTTCCTATCAGGTGAATTAGTGAAGACTTTTCTGCTTTGTGTCTGAGTCCTCCTTTTCTAGTTGTTGTATCAAAGATTCATTTGTAGTGGCTTAGAACTTGATCATTCCAGGGTCAAGGTCTTGGTAAAACACTCATGGAGAAAGTGATCCGTACTCTGCTCCAGAGGGACATCAGCAACATCACACTCTTTGCAGACAGTAAAGGTACAGAATCCGATCCCCACACAACACACAGGAACTTCTTCTGTCAAAAGCATACAAAAGATTTGCAGGTCCTGTTTAATCCAAGTAGAATTGCTAGATACTAGAACTGTATTCCTGGGTATACACACATTCTGCAGCGCATCAATACCATTTTGCTTCGGGGCGACGTAGCGAGGAAAGTGGATGTTCTGTTCATAGCCGGATGCAGATAATGCGGCACAGTAGTATATACTGTTTCATCAGGCTGCTAACGAATCATTGTTCGTGGTCCTTGATTCCTTCTGATTAATTTGCAGTGGTGGACTTCTACAAGAACATGGGGTTCGAAGCTGACCCCCAGGGCATCAAGGGCATGTTCTGGTACCCCAGAGTTTAGCTCCGGTGGCAGCCCGGGCACCCGCCTCATTTCCGCAAGACCGACGCCCGACGACCGGCACAGTCTGCTCCAGTGCAGAAGAATATTTCCAGGAGCTGAGCTGTGTATAACAGTGACTCGAGTGGCCGATGGCCATTTGCAATATCTGGTGCGACCGGCTCTCTCCCAGTCCCAAGTCCTGTTGGTCTGTATGTAACTGCTAGGAAAGTAAAGTATCCCTGTTTTAGTACTGCGAAGGAGACAGCCACACCGAACATTATTATACGACTGTGGAAGTCGAGAAATTGTTCTTCCAATCAACATGTCCAGGTCCACATCGCGTCGCCGTTCACTCGGTCGGTCCAGTAATCAGTCGGTCTCTCGACTGTTCTTGTCACTAACGCGTGAGATTTTTAGAGCAGCGTCTGTAATGTATGCATATGGGATCGTCTCATGCTGGCCATCACCATCCACTGAAGCTGGAGAGCTGGGTCGTGCCGTGGAGGCTTTTCATCTCGCTGGCCGACAAGCCAAGCCACTCAATGCAGCTGATGTCACCGGCGGCCAACCTGTGCCGTCAACGACAAGCCTCCGCCGCTGCTCGCACGCGGTCAGCGCGCGTGCGTTCTTGACCACATCTTGTGGCTGTCCTCTTCCATTCATCCGTTGTATTACACGTACTCGCAGATCGGTTCCAGAAGGCGAATAGTGCTGAAGCTATGGTCCGTGGTTGTCTGCACGTTTCAGCCTCCAACCGATCCGAATAAATGGGACGGGAGCTTGTTTTTCTATGCACTGCCGCCAGTCAAGTACGTACGTTGTCTTGCTAGGGAATCCTGCCATGGCGTGCGGGCTACACACGCAGTGCGCGCCCTCCACGACAGTGATATCATATCACGCAGCTGGAAGGGAAGATCGACCGGGCGCGTGAATCGTGATAGGTAAGCCTAACAAACCCCGACCATCCAGAAGAGGTTATTATTATTATCACACGCTTTTTTTTTGGCGAGAAATTGTCATCACACGCTCTTACCAGTGACTAGCAGCGACTGATCAATCAGACGGTTTTTCTGTCCGATTCCCAGCGCCAAACCCGCGAGCTGATGAAGTGATCGAGGATATGATGTTTCTTGGCGGTTTGCAGGTCCGTCGTCTGGGGGCCGGGAAGTCTGGCCACAATTAGAATCTCGCACAAGGTGATGGACCCACCGATGATAGTCTCGTTCAGGGAGGTGCGTGCGCGTCATGGCAGCGTCAGTGCGTAGCCGCGTTACCAGTGGGAACGCTGCCACCGTTGTCTAAAGCCCATGCATAAGCATGCTTCCACTTGAACCTTGATCTTGCTTTCTCGGTGCGCGGTTACATATAGTATAGCCATCATCTATATTCGCCACTCACCATCACAGGCTACGTATAGATTTGTTTACGGCATCGATGTGGCCGTTCTACTCTCATTCTCTGCTGATCCCCGAGGCCAAGAAATGTAGACTAATTTTATCTGGATATTGTATTATATAGTCAGATGGGCTCTGTTATGGTTACGCAGATATTACCCTCTCAAAACTCATGTCATATGTTATTGGATGCAATGATGCGGTGGTTCCCAACTTGATTAAGAAAAGCTGCTATCAAGTAGCAGAAGGTCCACATATTCAAAAGCTGCTTAGCTTAATGAGGCTATCGGAATCACTTTGTACCAACTTGAGTAGCTTTCAAGTCTCGTGGACTTAACAAAGGGACAAAAGGAAGAAGAGAAGAAGATCAGCCCGTGTTGTTTTTTATCCTTTTTTCCAAACTTAGTCATGTATCACGCGTCACTGATAAAGGTGAAAAACCCTTCTCTAGCTGGATCACTCTGGACTGTCAAATTGGATTAGATCAAGCTGGGGGTAAATATCCCAAAAGCACACGGCAACATGCATGCACTAGCCAGTAGCCACACATTTTGACCAGAGCAACGGTAACTATATATACATATCTACTAGCTAGCACAATCTTAATCAAGCTGAGCCGCTTCACTTTCACCACTGTCGTCCGATCTACGCTCCACTAATGATGGAGACCACTTTGACTTTGATGGCCCTCAGCTAGCATGCTTGCATGCCTCTCTGTCGATCCACCTCTAGTTGTTGCTCCACGAAATCTAAGGCCGCCGTCATTCTTTTTGCTCAAAAGGTCGATATATGCTAATTAATCTTTGTACAAATCGGGGTGCCCCGTAGGCACACGGAATGCATCACTACTGCTAAATGGGGCCAAAAAAACACATCTATCGCACACCCTTAGACCGAACTGTGTGCGATGCACACATCACAAACGGTAGAAATATAGACTCGTGTTCCAGAAAATGAAACATGTGGGCGAATCCATCAGACACAATTTTGAGACGCAAACTGTGTGATAAGGGGCACACAGTAAGTTATAATGTTGCGTGTGCGATATGTCGTCATAACGCACACAATTGATATTTCTTAATCATATGTCTTGATGGGTGGGATACGCGAGGGTGGTCGGCGCGCGTCTTCCTTTCCGATCTGATGGCTCCACGGTGGAGCCAGTGCTCGGGCGGTTGGCTTCGGCAAGTGGTGGCGGGCGCTGGGATCTCGGCGGCGTTCCGGCGCGTGCAGGCGGGCGGTCCTTGTGCGCGGTTGGCGGCTCCGTCACTGACCCGGACGGCGCGGGGGATGGCGGCGGCCCGGCGTGGCCGGTGATCTGGATGCGGTGGTGCCAGCGGCTCGCTGATAGGCCGGTACTCCAGGGTCTGCCTGGTGGTGCTGGTGGTGACGGCGGCCCGAGCACGAGAGTTGGATCCCTTCGAACTGATCCGGGTGAAAACTTGCCTTCGGCTCTTGCTAAGGTCGGCGGTGGCGGCGCTATCTGCGTCGTTCCCTTCTTGAAGGCATCGCTGTGGAGAAGTTCAAGGCCACTCTTTCCTACCTCGGGGGAAACCCCAGATCGGATGATCGGATGACGGCGGCGCTCTGGTGTCGTTCCTCCCTTGGGGGCGTCATTCTTGGAGGTACACACGTGATCGAGGGACCAGAGGACGGATTTTTTGGTGGAGCGGTGCTTCATCCTACACACTGATGGCGACGGATCTTGACGGCGTGGCGCAGTGCAGATTCGGAGTTCGCTGTGGGAGGATGGACTCGCGCAGGAGGACGACGCTGTCGGGCGTCGTGGTGGCGTCGATGGCAGAGAGACCTGACACGGTACATGCAACAGTACAACTCTGAAGATGGTTGGTGGCAAGTGGCTGTGGCGGCCTCATACCCGGCATGCGTCCTGATTGAGGAGAGCACCGAACTAGTAGGTGTCGTGGAAATATCACGTCAGATGTCCTCATAGAAGGACTTAGTCATGGAGCCATCGCGACGGGTTAGCTTAAAGGGGTTAAACCGGACAAAGGACACGAGGGTTTTTATACTAGTTCGGCCCCTTCGATGAAGGTAAAGGCCTACGTCTAGTTGTGATGAGATTGTTGGGGTCTCACTAACCAGGGAGCTAAACAAGCTATGCCTGGCTCTCGAGTTGTTGTTTGTTGTCCCTGAACCGCCGCCGGGTCGTCCCCTTATATACACGGGTTGACGCCCGGCCGGTTTACAGAGTCCCGAGGCCGACTCATACAAGTGTTCGGCTCGGTCTCTCCTTTCCTTATCTTACAATACAAGTTACATGACCATGGCGGTTTACCACTATGGGCCCTAATCCTCCTTTGGGCTCCGGGCCTCTAAGCTTCATAGTAAAGCGCCATCGTCTGAGTCTTTGTGAGCTTCAGTATAGTTGAGCATGAACCGGCCCCCCCTGGGCGGTTTACACTTAGTAGTTATATCCCCAACATTAGGCCCCAGATTGATTTGAATCTGTTCATGTCAATCTTCAGTACTTAGAAAAATCCTGTGAACATCTTCCTTAATTTCTCTTAAACCACCATGATGTCTTTCCTTTATAAACCTTGTTAAACCGCCGTGACGTCATCCTCTGGGCACAGCAACGGATCATCATGACGTCATCCCTGTAAAAAACGAATAAAAAGATTCCCTTCATTAAATGTCATCCCGGAAATCGAGGCGATAGCTGCGCCCCTTGCCGCTTTGGACTCCTCGATTCTCGCGCCTGTCACTTATCTTCTGCCTTATTATAAATAAGCCCGATGGGCCTTTTCATTTTTCTCCCCTTTCTTCTCATCTTGCTGTTGGAAATATGCCCTAGAGGCAATAATAAAATGGTTATTATTGTATTTCCTTGTTCATGATAATTGTCTATTATTCATGCTATAATTGTATTGACCGGAAACCGCAATACATGTGTGAATACATAGACCACAACATGTCCCTAGTGAGCCTCTAGTTGACTAGCTCGTTGATCAACAGATGGTCATGGTTTCCTGACCATGGACATTGGATGTCATTGATAACAGGATCACATCATTAGGAGAATGATGTGATGGACAAGACCCAATCCTAAGCCTAACACAAGATCGTGTAGTTCGTATGCTAAAGCTTTTCTAAATGTCAAGTATCTTTTTCTTAGACCATGAGATTGTGCAACTCCCGGATACCGTAGGAATGCTTTGGGTGTACCAAACGTCACAACGTAATTGGTGGCTATAAAGGTGCACTACGGGTATCTCCGAAAGTGTCTGTTGGGTTGGCACGAATCGAGACTGGGATTTGTCAGTCCATGTGACGGAGAGGTATCTCTGGGCCCACTCGGTAGGACATCATCATAATGTGCACAATGTGATCAAGGAGTTGATCGCGGGATGATGTGTTATGGAACGAGTAAAGAGACTTTCCGGTAACGAGATTGAACAAGGTATCGAGATACCGACGATCAAATCTCGGGCAAGTACTATACCGCTAGACAAAGGGAATTGTATACGGGATTGATTGAATCCTTGACATCGTGGTTCATCCTATGAGGTCATCGTGGAACATGTGGGAGCCAACATGGATATCCAGATCCCGCTGTTGGTTATTGGCAGGAAAGTTGTCTCGGTCATGTCTGCATGGTTCCCGAACCCGCAGGGTCTACACACTTAAGGTTCAATGACGCTAGGGTTATAGGGAATAGATATATGTGGTTACCGAATGTTGTTCGGAGTCCCGGATGAGATCCCGGACGTCACGAGGAGTTCCGAATGGTCCGGTGGTAAAGATTTATATATGGGAAGTCCTATTTTGATCACCGGAAAAGTTTCGGGTTCTACCGGTAATGTACCGGGACCACCGGAAGGGTCCGGAGGTCCACCGGGAGGGGCCACCAGCCCCAGAGGCTTGCGTGGGCCAATAGTGGGAAGGGACCAGCCCCTAGGTGGGCTGGGGCGCCCCCACCAAGGCCCAAGGCGCCTCAAGAGAAGAGGGGGGCAAACCCTAGGGCAGATGGGCCCTAAGGCCCACCCCAGGTGCGCCTCCCCCTCTCCCCCTTTGGCCGCCACCCTAGATGGGATCTAGGGGCTGCCGCACCCCTTAGGG